CAGAGTCATTTGTTGTTCTTGGAAAATATGTTCAATGGAGGAGCTTCCTGTATGATCTGATAACAGAACATTCACGTTTTTTGTCATAATAATAATGTTTTCTATTGGGCAGCTCGATTTCTATGAATCGGTTCAATCAATGCCAAACGGTATAAGGGTTCTCAGGATTTTTCAGTAATATTCCTGTACTTCCAAAACTTATTGAATAACCATATCACGTAATATATTTCTTTATGGTACCTCAAGGATCCAACAATGGTTCAATTGATAGTATATTTCAGCATGATGGTAATAAAGTTTATTTTGATAAATATATACAATTTCAAGTAACCTACTGATACATTTCTGAGAAAAAAAACAACAGAGCACCACGAAAGAAATTTCAAAAGGATTTTTTATGCTTTTTATCCTATCTAGTGCCAAATCCCAAATTTTTGGCCCTTTTTAGCTACAATACCTTTGGCCGAGTAATTTTTCACATCTTGGTATGTTCTTTCTCCTTAGTACTATATGGTTGTTGAATTTGTTCAGTGAAATTTTGCCTTCATGAATTTTGAAAATTATTTTCAAGTGGAATAACTGTTTGATATGAAAAAACGCTCTCCATGAATGAATGTATACTTGAATAAGTCCTTTTCTTACCATATTTAATTTTCAAGATATGTTTTTGTATTACATTCAGACTCTTCAAGTGTTTATCGTTCACATCGTCCCATGCTATAATTTCATATGTAAGTTGTGATTGAACTAATCCATAGTAAATTGATTTCAAGTGAGGGATTTTGAGAATTTCTGTCAATAATTTGGATTGTGATAGGAATCTACGTAATTTTCTGGTTGAATCTGACATATGTAGATCTCATTTCATATGTCGATCTAGAATTACTCCCAAGTATTCGATTGTAGTGGCCTCCGGTATTGAAGTTTCCTCGTTTTTTTTCAAAGGACTCATGTTTGGAAGGTTATTAGTGCAGGAGATGAATGACAAGTATTTGTTTCTCTCTACATTTGAAGTCGATTTGCTATGTTCAAACCACCTGACGATTGTGGTAAATTCAACTTTGGCTTCTATTTTGAGTTCCTACCAGTACAGATGAATCATCAGCAAAACTCAAAATTTGACCTGCTGATTGAAGTGTTAACAAGGTATTGATGTATATGGTGAATAAAACAGGACAAAGACTATTCCCTGCGGGACACCATTCGTACCTTTTGCGTGATTACTCAGTATTCCATCGATATTTACCACTCGTTTTCAATCAGAGAGATACGATCTCAAGAGATCGTACATCGTGCCGCGCAAAATCTATAAACGACTCCAAAAGGACATTGATGTATAACAAAAAAGGGTTGGGGTACCGTAGTGGGGTACCTGGTAGTGATGTCAGCCAAGGATACATTATAAGATTTTGAATATTTGAGAATATATCGATCTACAGAGTCATTCATGNCTCATTAACAAACTTGATAAAACTTTTGGTGCTAGGATTTCTGCATCATTGTCGGCAGGTCAGGTCAGGTTGGGAGCGACAGGATATTCACAAATTTTGAACCATGCTTGGCAGTTAGAAGATCAATTCACTGAAATAAAAAATCGATAAGATCTAGAATATCTTTCTATTAGTAGATCCAGTGGTCACACGAACTCATTGAAAATTTTACTGTAACTGTGTTACAATCCTATCTGTAGTACGATCCTGATGGCAAGAAATTTCTACATGATGAGTTTTGATCAACCTTATTGGGTAGGCAGCTATTTCATCACTGACCTTTCCATGGTGAAATTGATGAAGAATCAGTTTCTACACATATCAAAAGTATATTTATTCAAAAAATCAAGACAACGAACAAAAATCTTATTCAAAGCTAACAACAAATGCAAAACATAAGATGATCAATGGGATAAAATATTCACTTCACGATTCAGAACTGAAGTTTCATTCCATTAATGCAAGAGTCATTGTGATCGAAACATATTCATATGAATTGAGCAGCTCTGTTTATTCATATACCCACCAGTTAAAAATGAATTCCAACATCACCAAACAAAATTCGAATGACGAATAAATAGTTCACAAGCCATGTTTGTAGGAAACGCTTACTAATTAGAACAGTGCTTCACTTTTTGAAAAGAAGTTGAGTGGCTCCTAGAAGCCCCCAAGACTAATTATGTCAACTCGGGAAATTTCAAACTAGCTTTGTTTGAATTCAGAATATCTCAAAACGAGAAATATCGTTCTAGTGGAAATCTAAAAACAAAAGTAAACTTGTTTCTATAGTGCGACCAGTAAAGTCTGCTTCATGTGGGATTTTTAATTATTAGCTTCATTCTAAAGTTGACTTTGGTATCAACTTCTCATATTATTGAAAAATAAATAATTCGAGATATAATCCGGAAAAATTCGTCTCATATTATTCTCCTTTTATGTGAAAATTTTTATAGGTAACGAAGGATTAGAAGTGAGAAATGCCCAAAAAGTACTAGGAGAAACATTTTGATACGCAAACAACTTCAATTATTTTTGTCTAATTTTTGAAAATTTCAAAATTCCAATAGGAATAATGAACTTGTGATGCACTGTTTGGAACCTTTGGTGTAGTAATGCATATTACTGGATTCCCAACACCAAACCGTTACTTCAACACCTCGACACATGTTTCGATCATCAAGGTATCATCTTCAAGAGGAAGATCAAACTAGTAGTTTGATCTTCCTCTTCCTCTTCCTCAAACTAGTAGTTTGATCTTCCTTCATTAACATTCAGGGATAATGAAATTCGTTCATATGTTATGTTGTTTTCAACCTTATATTCACACTGATAATACACGTAATATATTCATCGTTATCAAGAAAACATTATAGTTCAAAGAAACCTCTGAATTTCATTGTATACATTTCATGGAGTTTCGTTTTTCCTTCAGTTTCATAGCATCGTTCCTCAGGTAACTCCAGAAGAAAAAATCAAGTAGTGTTGAACCTGGAGACTTAGCGAGCCAGTACTGTTCCATATTCCGCTCAATTAGTTCACCTATGAATATTTACAAAAACGTTCTGAACCTGTCTTGCACTCGTTTCATGAATCTTTTATTGTTCAAAACTGTGAAACACAGTTACGTACCGTTTTTCAATGGTCATATTGTCCAAACCATTTTGGTTGTTGGGGAAGAATAATTATTCTTCAGAATCTGAATTATCCTTCATTGTGATTGTTTGAAATATACCATACCACATATTTGTTTCAGGGTAATCCCAATTCCCAAAACTCTATTATAAAATTTGGATTTTCTTGAACACTACAACTATGACAGTTAACAAAGCCGTTTGAAGCAAAGTGGATCATTCTCTTTTCATACCCTGATGAATATAGTAAATTAACTTTTTGGAGTTGTGTTCCATGTTCCAAAAAAAAAAATGTTCTACAATATCTAGACATACAGTCAATTTGACTTTTCCACTTAGTTTTTCAAGTATTTTGAGTTTTTCAATAATTACATTTTTTTTTGGAACAACCATATTTTCATATCTAATACGCAGTATTATTGAAACGTCATCATGACAGACAGAAAGTTAGGAGCTTTTCGATATAATTCTTTAATGTTTTACTCAAGTTTTTGGAGCATTGTCGTTAGGTAGAGTGCTTATTCTTTGGTATGTATACCATATTCTTTAGTATATATGATATATAAATAACCAAAACCAAACCAATTTTACGATTTGACCTGTGGTGTCGTTGGTAACGGCACCTACCATAAAAATCTCAGGAAACCTATACCAATTTTAAGCTAAGATTCAGCATGAATGATTCTCATCAATTCGTGAATAATTCGTAACTCTTTCTGATAACGCAAAATTAATATCGTTTGATATCCAAAATTCAATTCCGAGTATATTCCCCCCATTGAAACAATTGGATTGGTTGAGCGTCTTTTAGACAAAAACCATGTGAATCCACTGATAAAACAGGACATTTTGGATTTACTCACTATTTCTCTATCTCAAAATTATTTCCAGTTTGACAAAAAATGTTATTCATGCACTGAAGAATTTGGGAAATTTTCACCGCCAATCAATATATTTGTATCATCAGCATAGCTTGTTATGAACTGATCATTTCTGGTATTCATTGAGCATAAGTCATTGGTAAAGATTATAAATAGAATCGGTCCGAGAATGCTACCTTGCGGTATTCCAATATTTGATTGAAGTATCTGTGATTTATGAATCATCATAGACTCCATTCTTTCCAAAAAACTTCAAAATCAAGTCATGGACCAGGTCTACCCAAATTTGAGAGGCAATCACGTCAGTTATAGAACATTGTCATATTTTAGTGAACCAACCGATAATATTGCCGGTTTTTTGAAGAAAGAATGCGTAAACGTAGCTTATAGTATGAATAATAGTCTGAGTAAAATCATTAAAATTAAAGTAGTTTCGTGAATAGAAAGACCAATTCCACATTTGCAAACCACCTTTTAGCAGAAGGAATGAGTTCAATCATGAATACGACGTGTTACATTTAGAAGAGAAGAGTTTGAAACTCAATCTTCTAGAAATCAACAGATTCAAAAATTCTGGTAGTTCACTGAATGAGCAAATATAATTAACTCCCCGTTACTAAATATATTTTCAAATGTGGAAACTGGGACATAAGCTCAGGTAACTTAATTCATTACAAACTCAGGTAAAACTCAGGTACTTGAAATGTAGGTACTTTAAATTGTGAAATTAGGTATATTAAGCTTTGAATATGTATAATATAGTTAACAAAGACAGGCCCGAAGAAGCCATTGTATGGCGAAACGCATTTTTGTAAAACTGTTTAGTGGAAATCTCACAATGAATTGTTTTTTGAATACGTTATTTTGAGAAATGACTCCAATATTTCATGGAAATAAACTGAAGCTGTAGAGAACCCTAAATCACACAATATTCCAGAACTGATATCAAAATTGTGGAAGTGGAATCCAACTCGCTAATCCTACTTCTTTTTTTCCAGGACAATAAGTATTTGCATCTCTACCATCCCAAGGACCAATCGAAGTTCAGCGTGAATGGAGAACTGAATATTCGAACAACATGGAGTGGCCAGGAATACATTATAACTGCAAATCACGCCAACAAGACTATTAAATTCCTCACCGACTATGACGTTTTGGATAAAGAATATAAACAGCATTCACGTTTGGAATTGAGCCCGTCCCATTGGATAGAATACGACCTCAATCTTTTCAATAGGACTTTGGTAATGAATGTGGATTTGCTCGTAGAGAAATACCTTTCATTGTGGGACTTTGAAGAGTCCGGAATGTTTTACAGTCCCTTTTTCATTTGACTCTTTCACTGAACTCAGAAGTGATATTGGGCGTAAGATGTGTAAGAAAATTCCGAGAGAAATAACAAATATCCGATAGTACAGTAATTTGGTATGAAAATTTCAGAGTACATACCGCTAGTGACTCGGTGTTATGATTTTTTGCTGGTAGCTGCATGAATGAAATTCCCTTGCGATTTCCTTTTTTGATAACAGATTCTTCTCATTTTCAATCTTTGGTTTTTGGATATATTTGATCGATGGTACTGAATGAAAATATACAGTGTGGATGTGAATAGTCCCCCACCTGTAAACATTCGAATGGGGCAAGATATTAGAGTGGGAAAAAATGTAGAGATGAATAATTTTTTGTACTTTCCAATAAAAAAGACAGCTCTCGTCGCTAATACATTTTTGTTCAGATATTTGTGGGGTGTTGTGACATTTCGTAAGAAAGGTATTTCAATTTTTTGGGAAAGAAAGATATTGGCTTTCAACTTTTCCATCTTGATACAAAAGATGTGGTAATCTTCCAAAGAAAAGAGAAAAGCAATCAATTTCATAAAAGGTTACTCTATATAAAGAAGTAACTTTCAGAAACAAAAGGGAAGAAGAAGCCCTCAAAAAACAACTACTCTCATATCAACATTGAGAAACACGAAAAAAACTTTCGAAACAAATGCTTTAATATTGAATTACCAAAAAAATCATTTTTCCTATTCATTTTGTACTCAAAAATTCCGTTATGGAATTGATACAGATATCATTTACAGAATTGCTACACAGTATGGTATATGAGAGAGGTGAACTTTCACTTAGATGGAACAATGTCATCCAATGTTTCGGATTAATAAGATAAGATAAATATTTCATCTTTTCAGGTACACATGGTGTACAGGTCAATATGAAAAACATAAAAGCTGAAAATCGAAGATATTTATCGAAACATATACCAATACAGTCACATTAATTTTGAAAGTAATAAAAAAAGAAAAACATAACTCACTTTTCTTCATGATTTGAACATTCAGTAAGTTAATAAAAATTGTTATCCAATAAAAATGTCTTCAATTGTTTTTTAAACTTTTTGTGATCGGGAATATCTTTTATTTTTCCTGAAAGGTGGTTGAAAACCATTACCCCGGCATATCTTGGCGATTTTTATATTTCCTAAGATTACATTTTCTAACATTTTCTAACCAATTTCATGGTTTTGTCTAGTTCACGAATCGAATGACACCTTGGTCGTAATTTTTGGACAGGGCTGAAAAATGTTCCAAAAAAAAGTACATGTGAACTAGACTACTTGCCTTCCTTCTCACTGACCCCGTATATTCTGATAGGTCATACCTAATATTAGTGAATATTTGAAAAGTAAAATGTATGAAAATAAACCAATCCGATGTCATTAACGAACATTATTGGGTAGACAATTTCCATTGGGATCTCATGATTTGTTGATTTGATTGCAGGACGAGATATTCGATGCCCAGCAAGCGGTGATCAATGTGATCTACCCTCGACGCAGCTTCACGGCTCAGGCTTTCTACAACATAAGTGATTCAATTGTATCAACAGACGTATCTCTTGTGTGGGACAAGGATAACAAAACAGTTCAAACGGGGTTGGATTGGAGACGTGCCTCGCCCCATCGAGAACAATTTCTGCTACAAATTAAACACCCTTCTTTCGAAAAGGTATGAATATAACTGCTCTGATGTTAAGTAAAATACGTAGTCATTTCACGCAGAGGCATTCGATTAACTGCCGAAGTTCGTAATTTAGGCCGGATGCAGCGAAAGAGCTAACCGGGAAATAGCAGAAGGGAGGAAGGGAGGAAAAATTCGGAAAACGGAAATGTTAGAAATGTGATTAACAAGCGCAAAACCGAAGTGATTGGGTGCAAATATGTGATTAAGTAAAATTTTGAAAACCTCTTTTGATTATTGGGAGTTATAAATAAATAAATAATAATGCTTGTCTGTAAAAATCAGCCAGCACCGGGAATTTTTTTCAATAAATAAAGATCCTTCAACTCACAACCAGATATTTTGACATCCATGTCCACTGATTTTTCAACGTTAGGTCTACTACACACCCGTCGAAATGGATAACTGATGTCAAAATAATAGAAGAACATCCCTATGAAAATATCGTGTGCATGGTCAATATTATTAATTTGATAGAGTTCATTCCAGTTTTTCCTTTCATTAGAGTAGTTTAATGATAATAATAATCAATCCGTCTTCAAAGTACAATTAGAGGGAGTTTTTATACCCACTCCAAACAGTAGATTTTGAGTCATGATATTCCACTACTGGTCTAAGATCTGTTTCAATATTGAAAAGAATATATCTATGGTCTGAACAAAAAGGTTCAGTAGATACAGTCCGATGCTATATCTGGTTGCTCAGGAAATGTGAGCTGAGGGTTAAGTCTATCTCCCGCCTATTACAAGTGATAAAAGTTGGTTCCAAACCCTTGACATCTCCTGAGCTCTCTCATTGGGGCGATTGGACTTTGGTTCGATGTCATAACCACATACCCATGATTTTTTCAATTCCTCATATTGTTTACTGGAAGGAGGATAATAAGTGTGAGAAGTTTTCAAATTGACACCCTGTATAGGTCCGCGGTATAGATATTGCAAATGTCGAAATATAATAATGGCAGACATTGGAAGTTGATATTCATTTCTCATAAAATACCACTCTAGTGCGACGAATCAAATGAATAGATGTGTATTTTTATGAACTGATTTTCCTCTTGTGAATTGATCAATCGTTTAGAAGTATTTCTTTAAATTTTGTCGGCTGTGAAAATTTCACTGGATGGAAAATGAAACCCTTTTATATTTTCTTCGTCCGTATTGATTCAACTGGCAATGTAATTTAGCGTCATTAAAGTTCTCGAATTTTCCATATTTCACCTCTGATTGGGTGAAGTGAAATGAAAAAAAATTAACAAGTTTCGTGCGTTTTATACTCGACTGTATTTTGTTTTGCAGGATGTTTCGTTCCACAGCGAATATGGTTACAATAAACGGACAATTGATGGACAGCTAGTGGTAGACTATTCATTAAATCCTGATCAAAAGCTAACTCTACGTGGAAAAGTGAACGATAATTCCAACCCGTTCACCTACAACTACACATACAATTTTCAGGCCGAACACAATGCTACAAATTTAAACTTGAATTCCAGGGGCGATTTTTACTGGAACCCGAGCAAATTTGGCACTGAACACATCACCAATTACCAACGATCATATTTGCCATTATCCACATCTGAAACTTTAGCTAGGGTGAACCTGGACCACAATGAAATTGAATTGAAGGTAAAAGTTTTTTATACACGATTCTGAATGTATATTCAGGCCAAATTAAGTGCCTGAAGCAATGTGTTGTTATGTTGCGGAAATGAAGTTTAAAGCATGTAGTTGAATTATCTTTCTTGATATATTTTCCCAAGTTATAATACGACGATAGATTGTTTTTCCTTGAGAATATTTGAAATACCTGACCTGGAATGAATAGTCATATCTGTGGTGAATTATTCTCGTCGGAAAGTCGCAAATAAGTACAAGACGACAACACAATGAAAACCAAAATCGAATCAATTCATCCATTCGCAGAGAACTGGTAAATTGGAAATATTTGTTACAGAAAGACAATATCGCAAGCGGAAGGTCCTATTTCTGGGGAAGATATGAAGGAAAATATCCTGTTTATACAGCAAATATGTCGGCGGTCTATTCTGAGAATGACACCAGTGGGGAGTTTTATATTAATTTCCAGAATAAGCTACTCTACTCTAACATCAACATGACAGAATGAAAAAGCTAATGTTTTAGCGAAACATGTTATGATTATTTTCAATAAAGTTAGTGGAGATCAAATCGTTTAAGTGTAGTTTGTGAAATTACTATGGATCTTCATCAAGTAACGGCCGAATCAATCAGAAAATTTTTGGTATGTCTTTGAGCTCTCTAGCCATTTGGTTTTTATCTCCTCAACCGTCGTAAAACGGCGTCTTTCTATGAGTCTCTTCAAACTTGGAAACAGGAAAAAGACGTTACGGGCCAAACTGGACGTTTTTTTCGTATCGCTTCTCGCAAGCGGCGAATAACTTCGAGATATTACTCGTTATTGACCATACAACAAAAACTCCTGATGGACTACGCCACGGTGAAAGAAGGCAACAGTGAGCAAAATCTTGACATATGATCAAATTTGGCGTGCTTTTTTTGGTATTGGCTCTCCTGAGCTTTCCCATTGGAGCAATTGGAGTTATGACCCTTTTGAGCAAATCTGAATCGCTGTTGATGCCAGACTAGCTCTATACAATTGAAAGATAATAGGTAAAATTATTTTCAGTTCGTTTTGAAGAAGAGCTGGAAATATACCATCCTCTCCAGGAGATTTGAAGGGCTGAAACGACTTGATAGCCCATTCAACTGGCGATGCTGTAATAACCTTCTTGACGACATCCCAATCTTTCTTTTTTGGGCTTTTAGTGCCCCCGAAGGTGGGAGGTCTGTTGTTATTAAGAGTCAGATTTCCAGGAAAGTGGTTTTCTATCAAAAACTCTAACGTTTCTTTATCGGGGGTCTTTAATGTTCCAACGGATCGTTTAAGCGGCTCTCTAGAGAGAATCTTGTGCTGCGATGTAAATCAGAGATACTCTCACAGAACTTCCTCCAAGATTCCCGTTTTGCCTGGAATTTTGTTATGTAACGGTAGAATCAAATCAAATCAAAATCAAATCACTTCATTTCTTTAAGACAACATACAGTCGTATAAGAAAGAGTCATGGTTACAACCGCATGGTAGTACGGTCGGGATTTGAATGAAGAAATGTACAAAAGGAATACTTCCTCTTTACGGCAGGATTCCCAAAATACCGAATAACCCAATACTAAATCATAACATTCTCCCTCTGAACCAAAAGATTCCTCCTCCACGGACAATAGCCATTCCTGATTGCAATACCATCCTGATCCATTATCCCAAGAATGATATTTCTGCAATGCACATAAGAAGAGCTTTTTCTGAAGTGGACTCCAAGTATGCGAACTACTCCCACATAAACACGGATGCGTCTAAAACCAGTGAAAGTTTAGGGGCTGCAGTGATCACAGATCATGCAAGCTACAGTTATCGACTACCAACAGAAACTAGTATATATACGATGGAACTATTCGCCATAGCCGAAGTTCTTGCACACTGCAGGAAACATGTGGAAGATGTCGTCGTCTTCATCGATTCACTGAGTGCTATACAAGGTATACAACAACTATATCCCAGAAATTCCCTCCTTATGTGTGTTAAACTAGAACTGGGAAAACTAACTGAACTGGGAAAACGTATCAAAATTTTTTCGGTTCCTTCGCACGTAGGAATAGTTGGCAACGAAACTGCGGACACATTAGCAAGAGAGATTAGCTCAAACCCACACAGTATATAAACTCGCTGTGTACCACATGAAGATTTGATCCATAAAATACGACAATTAACAATAATTACATGGAGGGAAAGATGGCAAGTTCTGCAGAATAACAAGCTCAAAACAATCAATCCTAGCTTAAACTTCCAAAATTACCTATCACCCTCTCGTAAACATCAGATAATTCTAATCTCAAGATTGGCCACACAAGGTATACCCACCAGCATCTACTGAAGAAAGAAAACCCCAAAAGATGTATTTCCTGTGATGAAGAATTAGATGTGAAACACATCATCAAGGTGTGTCGTGTGTCCTTACTACAGAAAGGAGAGATTGTCAACACGACTACCTGAAGAACTTAGTGATGCCTTGAATCCAGATGAATTCGAGATTTTACTAAAGTATCTGATATCTATAAATATTGTACATCTAATATGATTGTGATGTGATTCAAATTGTACTACACCGCTAATAACGTTTGTAGTTGATGCGGTTATATTAAATAAAAAACTAATATTTACATTGTCAAAAGTGATAGAGAAGCTTGTAAAAAAAAGGTTGCTAAAATATCTGGAGACGCACAATATACTGAGTAGCTTACAGTTTGGTTTTCAAAGATCCAAAAATACAAATGATGCTATCTTTGTCTTCCTAAAAGAGTTATTTGTAGGTCTCAATGAAGGTGAAGTGGCTGCGGCAGTATTCTGCGACTTTTCTAAGTCCTTTGATTGCGTTGATTACAGAGTGCTGTTGGAAAAACTGTTCCTTTATAGGATCAAAATAACAACCCTTAATTGGTTCCGATCATATCTTTCAGATAGAATTGAAATAGTGAAGTTGCAGAACAAAAATTCTAGTCTTTCGAAAATAACCTGTGGAGTCCCCCAAGTATCAGTGCTCGGTCCCATTTTGTTCCTTGTCTATGTGAATGACCTATCTAATATCGACGTACAAGGAAAGTTAATAATGTTTGCAGATGACACAACTTCACTATGGCATGGAAATAATACATTCGTTCTGAGAAATATAATTGAAACTGATTTAGAGAAAGTCAAATCTCTAAATCTCTCTCAATAATTAAATACAGATTTATTGAGTTGAAGTTGAACAGGTTCTCCAAAATCAGTACCTAACAGAAGCACTAGCAAGTATCACGTTTTTAACGTATAATTTGTTATCTCAAAATGACCTTTTCGCGGTTAGGCTCCATTTTATCAGTTATTTTTCTGAATTGTTGATCATGCTTCATTCTAAGTGAATTTCTCAACAGATCGTGTGTGTTTATTCAGAAAATGGTACAAAGAACTCCTGAAGATACCTGTGTCGCTGGCGAAACGCCGAGAAGGGTTGGAATTCAGTGATATGAAAGCAATTCATCTCAATGACTACACCATGACGATTTGGTTGACTTCTTACATCAGTATGAATTCCTTGAAAAAATATGTTTCTCATTTATAATTTATAGGATATACCATTATTAACGATTCTGTAATAACATGTAGTTGAGGATTGAATTATCTCCATTTATGATACCTCTGTTCTGTATGATGCGGGAGTCGGTCTGTGTTTTCATGATGTAATATGATTAGATAGGTCATAGTTGAATGTGGTATTTAGCGAAACAATTTCCAAGCTGATTTCGTATTCTGGTCGAACGTGTTTCATGGACACTACCTACGAACGGTTCATACAACCCTAATTCATTCAAATGACCACATTTGACTACATTCAAGCAATTATTTGAAATTTTCTTGATTGAGTATTCTCTGTAGACTATAGAAGAGCATAAGGTGGTCAATGAAACCAAGAATGAAAATAAGTTCGCTTTGAAGTGGCCCCGAGAATATGAGTAACCAGAATGAACTGTTTTTCACCGTTGTTCAAGTCGCTCTTAAACCTCATAATATGTTATACATCTGCCGAATGGGGAATCAAAACCTAGGTATGATACTAAACCTCATATTGACCTTGAACTACTGCTAAGATAAGATGAAAATGAAAATTGAAGATGACCCTGATGATGGCCAGAACGAACTACGTAAAAACGTGTAAGAACAACAGCTAGCCGCAGAAAGCTGAAGTAAAATTATCAGGGCACCTGTGCAATGTCTTTTAATTGGAATGTTCGTCGCAAGTATCTTACTCTATATGAAAAAAGTAGAAATTGAATTCATTTGATTGGGATGACCACCGATAGACTGGTTGTTTAGCTCCTCGTCAGTACCGGGAGGATCATTTCAGACGGAGTGAACCGTCTGAGTATCCCTAACAAACAAAATGATGCAGAATGTACCACTGCGCCACCTTCAGACAAAGTCCGGAAACAACTTCACAAACACATACTCCGTGGTGGGAGTCAGAATAAGGAATGAATATCTTCCGGAAAGGTTCATTTGATATGCTCAATTTCAGGTGAAAACACCTCACCCTTGCCTCTCATGTTAATTTCATTTATTTAATTTTTTCAGTTTTCAATTAGTGCACGAGTCTCATATCGATCAGATTGCTTCGTGAAGATTTTTATTTCTTTCTTGAATCATAATTTGGAAGTCTCGTTTTTCAATTCTTTAGGAAGTATATTAAATGCTTTCAGAGCTGGGACTTTGTAACAGTTTTAACCAATTGATTTGGATGCGAAAGGTATTGAGAAGATATCAGTTTGCCTCGTTGTATGAGCATGAGATGGCAGTTCATTTTTATTCAAGAACTGTCATGAAGTTTTGCTAATAGAGAATAATTGTCTCAGATCAAGATTTGTTGAGTTGTTTCCGGACTTTGTCTGCTGCTTTTGAATACACTGCAGATAGAGCTAGTACTCCGAAACTGGTCTATCGGTGGTCATCCCTATCAAATGGAATTGATTCCAGCTTTCCATATATAGCAAGTTACTGGCGACAAATCTTCCGAATTATCTGTAACATCAAGTCTCTCACACATTATTCATACATGACATCAAAAACCTATCACTAATATTAGACGGAGCGAGTTATTCTAAAAGTCTTATTAACTATCTGAATGATATCGAGAAGGTTTTCGTAAACTAAGAATGTACAAAACCAAACTATTCATTATTAACCTGAAGTTATAGACTATGCCACTTGTTACATAAATATAATGTTGCGTCGCTATTAGCGATATGAGGATGCAACCTTTTTGCATAAAGAAGAAATAGTGTAACGGATTCTGAGTTTGAGCAGTTTACAGACACGAAATTCACGTCTTTTTCAGATGGGAGCCAGAGCATGCACCTTTACGGTATAATACCAGATGCCAGAAGGGCCATGTGTGATATATGGAGAGATTACGAAGACAAAAGGGTGTCGGATGTTTCGTACTATCTGAGGCTCAATCATTCAAGGTTGATAATGTCTAGCCTACTTTGGCGACCTGATTTAATCAGTGACGTTCAGGTAAGATCATGATTTGCATGTTGTGGGTAGTATACCAGAATAATTTCCAAAATTTTATTCTGTTATATAGATGATAAAAAGAAGGGGCCCTAAAACCGACCCTTGCGGAACGCCATGATTAATTTTTTTCCACTTGGGAACGTCTCGTGCCATCTGAGACGCATATATATCTGTCCGTCAGGTAAGATTTCAATAGTTTCAGTGGTAGTCCTCTTATACCATAGTGCTCCAGCTTTTTTATCAGTAGATCATGGGAAATGCAGTCAAAGGCCTGGCTGAGATCCACTGAGATGATTGAAGTATAAGTACCTTCTTCAAAACTCTGGACTACATTTTTTACCACACTGTAACCTGCATCAAGTGTGCTCCTATTTTTTCTGAACCCGAACTGGAATTTGTGTATGAGGGAGTATGCCCTTCAGCCTCAATTATGACCCTTTTGAGCAAATCTGGATCGCCGTTGACGTCATCAACAATTCCTGAGCGATGCTCGTGCGACGGTTCTTCTGCTAAAAACTCAGAAATTTTGGAATGAACTTCACTGATTCAAATTCTTTGATCCATTTTTGCCGATAACAAAAAATCGCCAAACATGTCAACCTTAACTTTCATGTCTTCCACCAATAAACATGCTGAAGAGCTGAAAAATCACTATTAAAACAGACCTCGTATAGTTATTTCAGGTGCCACCCATGGTTCAAACGTCGGGCCGATCTCATTCTCTTTCTTTTTCTCATTATTTCTGATCTTTCAAAAATCATCACTTCAATTACCACAAAATATAAATATAATAGTCAATAGCACCTCAGCGATTTCGAATTTGTAGTCTAGAAACCTGGCTTGAATAACTCGAAGTGCTCTATGGTGTCTTTTAGTGATAAACCTCACTACTGCTTCATCCTAAGTAAATTCGAATGTGGAATAATAATAATATGGCGTATTTTATCATCATGATGGCTTCTTTTTTCAAAACGAATAGTTTTGAGATTTATCTATTCTGCAATATTCCTAGACTGTTAAGGAGGAGTAGCTATTCATTTAGGACAAAAAAATATATCATTCAAACCACTCAATTTGAATTTATTCAGTGTGGAAATTCATTCTGAATTCTGTGGCATTTTGATTCAAGACCTGAAAACGTATGTATTCATTTTATACAGATCTCCTTCTGGAGATTTCAGGATATTTATGGAAAACCTAGAACGCCTATTGGAACACTTTTCGATAACGGACGGAAGAGTCATAATTTTGGGTGATTTCAACATTAATTTTGAAATCATAAATGATCCTATGCTGAATGAACTATTATGTTTGCTAAATTCTTTTGGCCTTTCTATAATTATTCATTATAATACAAGAAAATCTAGCTGTGTCGATAATATATCATCTAACTTTGAAAGCGAGTTGTTAAGAACTGGCATTCTAGAACCATGCATATCCGATCATTTCGGGCAATATGCAATCATAATCAAAAAATTTGAACAGTCTACAAATAATATTTCATCCTATGAAATAGTTATCACAACCTCGGGCTTACAGAAAATGAAAAATGCCCTGTATAATGTGGGCTGGGAGATTTATAAAAATGATGAACTACGCGTGAATCTTGCAAATATTTTAGTGAACACGTTTCATGATTTAGTTGAAAAAACCCCGATGACATAAGAATTTATAAACTGTTGAAGAAGGAATATGTGAAAAAATAAAAACTGCAAAAAATATGCATATGATGATTACATTCGTTGCGCGGAAAACAAGTCCAAAGCTAGCTGGCAAGTTATAAATTTTGAAAGGAACATGGCTAAATCAACTCCCATCATTAATGAAAATACTACCTCTAAAGATTTTATTGATCATTTTGCCCAAGTAGCCGAATCTATCATAAAATATCTACCTGGTATTCCTGAAACCAAATTACTACATTTCTCAAAAATTCTTCCAGCACCTTCATCTTCTTTCTTTCTACCTCTAGTTACCCACTCAAAAATTGAGGATACCATAAAATCGTTGAAAAATTCTTCATACGTTGATAATCACGACTTAAATATTAGAATCATTAAAGAAACATCAGATATAATTCTGATACCGTGGCATAGTCGAGATCCTTGAACAACGGAATCATACAGCTATCACGTTGTGCGACCTCTCGAAAGCCTTCGACTGTGTCGATCATGACATCCTACTGAAAAAATTATATTTTTATGGAATAAGAGGAGTTGCACTTTCATTTTTTGAATCCTACCTAAAGTATGGTTTTCAGGCAGTTCGTTTCAATAATAGTACATCGGATTTTAAGTGAATGAATCATGATGTACCCCAAGGATCTGTCCTGTGGCCATTTCTATTCATTATTTATGTTAATGAGCTGAGCAACTTCATAACTCCCTTCAAATGTGTTCTTGTTGTCAATGATACGTCATTTATATGTTCAAGTCCAGATAACCACGTTTTATTAGATCGATCTGAAGAAATTGAAAAAAAAGTTGGAACATGGTTTAGAGCCCACAATCTGAAACTGAATAATGATAAGTCTCAGAGGCTACTCGTAACGACCCGTCAGTGTGAACAACAAGACCAGAATGTGAAGCTACTTGGTGTAGCTTTAGACTGAACTGAATTGAAATGCTCATATAGATCACTTAAAACATAAACTGTCGAGCATATTATTTCTTCTGCGACAGCTTAGGCATATTTCAAACTACGAAACTTCGAGAACAGTCTATTTCCCACTGTTTCAGTCTCATATGGGTTACGCCATTTCAATATGGAGAAAATCCTCGGCTGCTAATGTTATTTGTATTCAACAAAATAAGGCAATAAGAATATTAGGTAATCTAGGGTATAGAAATACGTGTAGACTCAGAATCATAACTCTTTCGTGCCTATACATTTATAATTCACTCCTTGAAATACACAAAACATTGTCCAACCTCACTACACATGCTGACATTCACCATCATAACACTAGAAACTCTGACAAGATCAGACGTCCTAGATATAAGCTTTCTATTTCACAAAAAAATTCTTCAGATTTTAGTCTCTACAATTCACTGCCTCATCAAATCAAAACGATGAGTGTGAATAAGTTTAAACGAACCATCAAATCGTATTTGCTGAAAAAGAGTTTTTACTCAATCAATGAGTACTTGGAAGATAATCAAGGTGTGACCTTTGGCCTCTGAGAACATACTTACCGTTTATGTACTGTTTGTTTAACTGTTTCTTATATTTTTGTATGTTTATGTGCAGTTATATTTTGTAATTACTTTTGTAAGTGTATTAGTGTATTACCAAATAGTTCACTTTATATCTTTTGAGACCAAATGACTTGCTATGAATATGCATATCTATATGATATAGTCAAATAAACTGTCTATTTATCTATTTATCTATCTATCTATATTTTGTAACAATCTCTCTCTCAATGTTCAAACTCATTATATCATTCTCGAAAGTGTCTACTAGTTTAATTTTTGAAACAATACGACTCGTTCATGAATAAGGGTCAAATATTGAGTAACGATAGGAAATATAGTAGTGCCATTTTTTTCCAGACAAATATTCGTGAAACAATGATGATGTTCTATACCGACACACTAGAAGGAATCAACAATACTAAGCAGTACGTGAAAGCTGAAGCCTTGGATGCTCTGCATGGGATATGGATGGAAGCCCGGCCTCTCGTTCAAAATTTCATAAGTGATCTGAGGAATTTAACGGTGATAGAAGAGGATATAGAAGAACTTAGAGTATTTCTCAATCAGTCCTACTATGCTAACGATTTTTACATTCGTGATATAGTTAGTGCTGTTAAAACTATGTTCGACGAATCTTTGAAATCACATCTCCAGTACCTTCCAAAGATTGTTCAAGAAGTTTGGTCAGTTCTTGGTAATTCTGGAGAAAAGATTAAGAAAAGTGTACTCTGGGTCATAGAGAAGGTACGTTATGACATGAAATATATCATCACAGACAGAGTTTCAATTCAATTCTTCATCAACGCAGAAGTACTAGGTGTTAGTTGTTTTTTTATTGATAGTAGTCCTCGCTAATCAACTTAGCGGAAATTATTTCTCATGATCAATATAAGATAATCAGAACTTTTAAAAATTCACATACACGCAATCAACAAAATGTTTTCCCTACAAACCAAACTATGCCATTCTTCATGACCTAAATTCCATCAACCTGGTGCTATCAGCAGGAGATTATCTGAATCACTTTCATTGCAACTATATATAACAAGGCAAACCTTTTCTAACCAGTATTCTTTCATTTCTAGTAGTTACGTTTCATTTCTAGTAGTAATTTGATTCTAACAAGTTCCGCAGAAACTTTTGACATCTGTGGTGAATGTAGAAACGGCCTCTCCACACAAATCACATCTTCTGAGACTCGCAGCTGAGGACTGAAATCGTAGTCTGTTTGGAAGAATGGGTTGTTCTTTGTCAAAAAATTAACTCCTATTATTTTCTACGGTGTTGACTGTAGGCTGATAAACTGACAGATCATGATCCTACTGAAAATGTAATGAATTTAATTTTTTTTCAGATAAAAATCTATTACAAAAATACAACAGATTTTATTCACGGACTGATAAATGGTGACCCAATCGAGCACCTTTCGAGCGGCTTGGACAAGCTTTTAGAGAAATACGATAAGTTTATGAAAGACCTTCATGTAACCGTAATAAAATACATGGAAGGCGTATGGTCTCAGGTCTCATCTTTGGTTGTAGAGCACTGGCACACAGGTCTTGCGAGTATGGAACCAACATTTTTGAAGTTCATACATTATTTGGAAACCATTGTTTGGAATACAGGAAAAGAATTCTTAGGTGAGATTGGACTTGGAGTAGTGAGGTGTATTTCAATCAGTTGATTTTTCAGATTTCCTATATGAACGTAAAAGCGAAATAATCGAATCTCCATTTTTCGTTCAGTTTACAAAGTTCTCCCACGATGTTGATGCGTTTTACAAAGATATAACTGGCAACAATACAATAGCAAGTATCTACAAATACTCGGAAATTGCTTGGGAATTTCTGACAGAGAAGTACTTGAATGTGATACCCTTCGGGAAGGAGCTGCTGGATATAGCTACTGAGATTGTGACGGAATTGAAGCAAATAGGAGATATACCGTCAGTAAGATATTTTGTTGACAGATGGAAGGAAACATACGAAAACATCCGATACTATTACGAGTATTTCGATTTGGAAGGTCGAATTCACAGATGTATCAAATTGGTTTATACAAAAATATCTGAAATGTCAGTGACTGCGTTGGAGAATGAAAACAGGTGAGCTCTAGTTTCATCTAAAAGATATGAAAAAAAAAATAGAATATTTGAAGATTTCATCGAATAATTGTAATCGAATATAGTTTCAGAAACTGGCAGATTACAAAGGTTGTTTTTGTTTTGTTTATACCCTGATTTCATTTTTTGAAAGATTATTCTCAACAGGAACACAGTAAAGGAGGTCTGTTATGCTGCATTATCTAGATGTCCAAAATAATTCAGTAGGTAGTCGAAAATGTATCACTGAATGAATCAGGAAAATATCAAAACTTTCAAAATATCATAGAACTGATCGATACCTTATAAAAATCTATTACAACTGATTCATAAAACAACATTTCAATGTGACACGTGTTTCGCTATACAATAGCATCTTCAGGCGTCACAATACTGTTTGAACAAATTCTGTGTTGTGCTTTTACAGTAATTTGAATCAGTATTACTATGACTACTTGACAAATTTCTGTATGATAATTCATTACCTAAACTATTTATCTATCTAGGAACCACTCATACGACTGGAGAATGATGAATATAATTTTCACCTACTTCTGAGATAAGTCCTAATCATCAATTTTCTCGTTACAAACTAAATTCAATAAAGAGGAACAATTCGAATCTATTTGATCATTGAGCAATAACCCCGAATTTTTACATCTATTGATTTCTAAACATCTCAAAAGGTTGACTTTTGAACCTTCCTCTTGCAAATGCAATACGTCATAATCATGACTGATCTCGTGCCCTTTTGTCAAAAAATGATTGTCAAATGTTGAATTGGTATTTCCATTACCCGCATGGAGCGTGCCTCTATACTCCTTGTTTCACTTAACATGGATTTGAAAAACATTTTCCGAAACACATTTTTGAGGTGAATGATCTGAGTGTGAATATTCTGGTCGAACCCTAAACACCCGAAAACTCGGTGGGTCACTGCCACCGATGTCAACGTTTTTGCCACTACCAGCAAAACTGTTTGACAGTTGTTCGAAGTACCCCTAGGAAGACCTGCGGAGTCTAGCCGTACCCAGGAGGGGTTCAGCTTTGCATCCAAGGGTTCTAGCAGTTCTGTACAGCCGACTTATTCTCAACCCGAACCCTCACCTCGGCCACATGGGGTTTCGGACATCTGTTCCGCATTGAAACAGATGAGAAAATTATTCGTTGAATTCCCCGTACTCGGTAAATGTTTACGGTGAATACAAACGTGCTAACCGGAGTTGCCAACGTCTAGACAACCTACATTGCCTAGATTTTCTAGGCAATGTAGGTGTTCTTACCAGAAAACATGATTCTGAAAATTGTCGATAATTTGCTTCTATGCTTCCTTCACTTCTACCGAAGAAGATACGGTGTTAGCTTCGCGTCTAGAAATTCAAATGTTAGTGAAAATTTTCTTATTATTACCATGTATAGTGTTGATAATCTCCAATAACTAACGGGTCAGTCCATTCACAATATGGATAGAGGCTGTTAAAACAGAATTACAGCAGAAAACTGTAGAGGAAACATAGGAATCATTTGAGGAAAATTGTGAATCAAAGAGCACAGTTATGATTTGTACTGAGCCTTAGTTTCCTAAGACCGATTTCTGACTTAGGAAGCTGAGGCTGTGATTCAACGAATATTCATTTGATTTGCAGTAGAACTCCAATACCCATTTGGAATTATTATATTTTTGTGACCAATCCCGTTTGATAGCTTTGACAAATATTACGATTCTGAGATAAGTACCCTGAAACTTACTGTTTTTGTTGAAATCTTTAAAGCATTGATGAAATAAAATACATCATACTTACTCTATATCGGCAGTTCCCTTTCCCTATTGGGTAATTTGGGCGTGAGAGGGTGGAATAACAATGTAACACTCGGCAGAGAAATCAGTGTGTTACGTCAGATTGGATTGTTGTTATAATCTCCAATCCATAATCGAATAATACCACAGTGGGTGGTATGAATTGTTTTGAGGGCGAAAATGGACTAAACCGATTCTATTTGTTGGATATTTTTGGAAGATTGCTTGAAACAAATTCAATTCTGAATTAAAAATGGAATAATTTTAAGAAAGATCAATGTTTGTGAAAGTTAGGTTTTGGCATTCTACTTCTCCATCTTCATATACGAAAAATGTGAAATTCAAACTGAAAATAAAGCTCCCTCGAAACAATTACTGTCGTTTAATCATTGAATTACACGAAATAAAAAATATTTCCAAAACAACTACTATCATGCCAAGATTGAATTATGCAAAAAACACTTTTCTCTGTTCAGTTTTTCATCCAAATATTCACTGTTGAATTGAATCAGATATTGCATTGACATTGTTGACATTGAATCAAATAGGGAATGAATATCATTATGTAGTTCAACTCATTCTTGACATGAAGTCATAATTTTATGAGATAATTGAGTGCTTCATCTTGTAATGTTTTCCAGATTGGTGCTGAAGAGGTAATAGGGAAAGTTTTTTATTCCGAAACATAGGATATTCGCCATTGAGGATAACAGTGGATATTGTGTAGCAATCCTGTCAATGGTATCTGATTCAATTCCTTCTTGCATTTCAATATTTTGTGAAAGTGGTTGTTTCAAGAGGGCTGCCTGGGAAAAACCTCGTTGCATGATCCGGACAGCTCTGTAAATAGCCCAACTAGCAATTTCGTATCTTATAATAGTTGCGGAAACGTTTTGGAGAAACAAATTATAGAACTACATTTCTCCCAGAAATGTTTTCAAAGTGTTTATAAAACTGCTATGAATAGGAAATTGGCACCGTTTTATAAAACATTATAGTTATTATCAATATTTTGTAAGGCCTTTTACAAACACTACAAAACAGTTTTATAAACATTTTGGCAGTTACTATAAAATTTGTCTAACGCTCTTAAAAAGTAGTTTTGTAAAGACTTCCCTTACTGCACTTTTGCAACATATTTAAG